AATTCGGATATTCAGAAATTTAGACATTCAGAAATTCGGAAATTCAGAAATTCAGAAATTCGGAAATTCAGAAATTCAGACATTTAGAAATTCAGAAATTCAGAAATTCAGAAATTCAGAAATTCAGAAATTCAGAAATTCAGAAATTCAGAAATTCAGAAATTCAGAAATTCAGAAATTCAGAAATTCAGAAATTCAGAAATTCAGAAATTCAGAAATTCAGAAATTCAGAAATTCAGAAATTCAGAAATTCAGAAATTCAGAAATTCAGAAATTCAGAAATTCAGAAATTTAGAAATTCAGAAATTCGGATATTCAGAAATTTAGAAATTCAGAAATTCGGAAATTCAGAAATTCAGAAATTCGGAAATTCAGAAATTCAGACATTTAGAAATTCAGAAATTCAGAAATTCAGAAATTCAGAAATTCAGCAATTCAGAAATTCAGAAATTCAGAAATTCAGAAATTCAGAAATTCAGAAATTCAGAAATTCAGAAATTCAGAAATTCAGAAATTCAGAAATTCAGAAATTCAGAAATTAGGAAATTCAGAAATTTAGAAATTCAGAAATTCAGAAATTCAGAAATTCAGAAATTCAGAAATTCAGAAATTCAGAAATTAGGAAATTCAGAAATTTAGAAATTCAGAAATTCAGAAATTCAGAAATTCAGAAATTCAGAAATTCAGAAATTCAGAAATTCGGAAAAATTCTGAAAAGTTTAAAACATAAGAATTCCACAATTCAAAATCCCGAAATTTCAAAAATTTTCCAGTTGGCGCCAAATCATGGTGGATGTCAAAAAGACCGGAGAAGCGATTGAAAAACGCAAAAAAGTCAAAGAAATGATTGGGCAAAGTGTGAGATCGAGAAGTTCAAAATCCAATAGAATCTATTTGAGTCCCCGGAAACCGTTGGCGGTAATTTGAATTTTTCAATCATTTAAACATTTCAAAGATTCTTTTTTAGAATTCCGACTACGAAGCCTTGGAGGATGATCCAATTCAAATGAAAAATGAAATTATGGATTCAGAAACTGAGGATTCTAAGAAAATGAACGTTGAAGATATGCTCAAAAGATTTCAGGACCATCCAGAAGAAATTCTGAGCAATGATGCTCCAGAAATTCTGAATATGACCGGTCAGGAGACAGAAGCCGTCTTAAGGATCAAGTTGATCAGAGAAGGTGTGTTCTCTAGCTCGTAACCTAATTTTTTTTCGATTTTGTAGGTCATGACCTATTTTTTTGAAATTTCTAGGCCATGGCCTAATTTATGGATTTTCTAGGTCATCACCTAATTTTTCCATTTTCTAGGCCACCAATTTATCGAAAAAAAAGTTTTGAAAAAATTTTTTCGAGGAATTCCACGAGGAATTTTTTTCGAGAAATTTCTTCGAAAATTTCTCGGAAAAGGCATTTTTCGAAATATTTTTTCTCGAAAAGACACACTGGTTATGACCTAATTTTGGATTTTCTAGGCCACCACCTGATTTTTTGATTTTCTAGGCCATGGCCTAATTTTTTGAGATTTCTAGGCCACCACCTAATTTATGGATTTTCGGCTCTAGTATGAAATTCTGGTCCTTAAAAAAAATTCTGGTCCTTAGAAAAAATTCTGGTCCTTAAAAAAAATTCTGGTCCTTAAAAAAAATTCTGGTCCTTAAAAAAAATTCTGGTCCTTAAAAAATTCTGGTCCTTAAAAAAAATTCTGGTCCTTAAAAAAAATTCTGGTCCTTAAAAAATTCTGGTCCTTAAAAAAAAATTCTGGTCCTTAAAAAAAAATTCTGGTCCTTAAAAAAAATTCTGGTCCTTAAAAAAAATTCTGGTCCTTAAAAAAAATTCTGGTCCTTAAAAAAAAATTCTGGTCCTTAAAAAAAAATTCTGGACCTTAAAAAAAAATTCTGGTCCTTAAAAAAAATTCTGGACCTTAAAAAAAAATTCTGGTCCTTAAAGAAAGATGTGGGTATTTGAATAGCTTTCATGTTTTTGTTTGAAAATTTGGTTAGATTGAAACGTTTATTTATTCCAATCATGTTTTCAATAGTTTTGATGTTTTAAAAATAATTTTTTTTGTAATTTTGATTTTTATTCAGAAGAAGGTATAAGACTAAAAGGTGTGGCATATAAGAATTAGAGAGGATAAATAGTTCAGAACACAAAAAAAAAGAATATCGGTTGCAACAAGATGATCTTATCCGCGTCCTTTGAACTTCCTTCGGCCGGTGAAAGTGGATTTTAGAGTAGTGGTTGTGAATCTTGGAGTAATGGTAGTCTATCTTGGAGTGGTGGTAGTGGGCCGCCCGCGTCTTCTTCTATCATTCCGAGTCTTCTGAGTGGTGATGGTTGTTTGTCTCGTTTCAGGGGCAGACGTCGTCCGTTTCGTACGAGGTTCTGTCGTGGTTCGTCTCGACTGATGGGAAGTTGTTCGTCTTGTTCTCATGGTGGTCGTGGTCCTCATGGTTGCTGTGGTTGTGATGGTGGTTGTAGGATCAGCTTTTCGACTTTGTGTCTTCTTCCGAGGTTTTCGAGTTTTGGTCGTCGTTTGCCTTGGTGTAGTTGACGAAATTGGTCTGTTGGTTTTGATAATCATTTCTGGCTTAGAAGAGGTGGTGGTTCTCATTGTAGAAGCGGTAGAAGAACTTCGACGTTCGTTTCTATTTCGATTCAAACGAGCAGCCATTGTGGTTTGTCTTGTTGAAAATGTAAAGGCGCGATTGTTTCTTTCATTTCGTTGTTTGGGAGCAAATGAAACTCTATCAGAATCGAACTGTTTTCTTTTTCTGAAGATTTTCGTGGTCGGTGCTTCAGTCAATTGATCTTCCTCTTCCTGTTCATCTTCGTACTCATCTTCCTGATTCTTTTCCTGCTCCTCATCCTGCTCCTTATCCTGCTCCTCATCCTGCTCCTCATCCTGCTCCTCATCCTGCTCCTCTTTTTGTCTCTCATCCTCGCCTTCTCCCTCCTGCTCTCCGTTTTGCTCTTCTTCCTGCTCTCTCTCCTGCTCTTCCTCAAACTCTGGTTCA